CGTAATAAATAGACCCATACGACACGAGAGAAATCATCCACCGGTGTAAGAAAATAAACTGCATCACAAGTAGATGGGGTCTTATACGGGCCCCACAAATCACAATGAATAAGTTCAAGTATCCTACTTGCTTTATTATCACTATTAGGAAAAGAATCACGAACTTGCTTGGCCTGCGGGCACACCTCACAAGCTTTATTCAATTTTTTCTGAAAAGAACTAGAATTAACCGCAGGTAAAAGTTTAAGAACCCGATCAGACGGATGACCCAGACGACGATGCCACAACTCGAACTGTGATACTGATGCGGATGTCTTGATATTATGCACTACCGGTATCCGTCTGAAGTAGAAAATCCCATCTCGTCGTTCACCTGCTCCAATCAGGTTCCTCGAGGGTAGGTCCTGTATAGCACAAAGATTATGAGTAAAAGTGACAAGACAAATAGTTTGATCCATTAATTGTGACACGGAAATAAGATGACAATTAAGCCCCGACACATATAAAACATTATGAAGAACAAAGTCCTGGGATAAAACGACTCGGCCAGTGAGAGCCGCGGCCACAATATGTCCGTCCGACAGACCCACCGGACAAGCTGGAATAGAGACGAGATTCACAAGACATGACGCATCACCCGTAACATGATTCGATGCCCCCGTGTCAATGATCCACTCAAGAGAAGAATACATACCCGACATCCGTTCACAAGAACCAACGTCGGCATTAAGTAAATTCAAGAGGGTAATTTGTGGAACACACAAATTATGTACCCCATCGGTCATGTTCGCCGGTGATGAAGACACGCTGGTGTCTCAACCGAATGAAGATGACTAAAAAAAAATGTGATGATCGGCACTACTCACGCACATTCTCTGATACCATGCCAAGACTCGAGGTTCCATCCTAAAAGGTCAACCTGATAGGAGGAGTAACCCAAAGCCTTATATAGTGTTTTATTATTTTATAGCTTTCCAGTGTGGGACAAATACTTCAACATATTGAATTGATAAAGTAAGAATAAAGTAGGAATGATTTAGAACCACACAAACTTTACCAAATAAGGTATGAGACAATCTTAGTGGGACGGACCAAAAAGGTAAAACGGAACAATCGGGACGGAGGGAGTATATAATTTGGTGTTTGAAACAAGAATTTACGTTTGACTTATTCAAATATGTTTCGTGCGTGTGACAGTTGCATATAGATTGCGAGTAAATTTATGGAACCCCATATGACTCCCTTATGGAGTCATATGGGGTATTGTGGCACCATCATCACCATTCATTTATTTAGTGGAGGACCCCATAAAATAAATGAACGGTGATTGTGGTGCCACAATACCCCATATGACTCCATAAGGGAGTCATATGGGGCTCCTTGAAATTTTTGTATAGATTGCAACACATTTTTAGATGGGACATCGTAAATAATGATTAAATAAAAAAATGATTAATAATGATTAATCATTTATAAATAATGATTAAATAATGATGAGTGATGGAAAGACAGTATTACCATTTTTCCTGGTCATGCACGTCGTTTTCTGCATCCAGATTGACTTCAGTCATGCTGCAGTTTATAAACGAAGAGTGTAAACTTTTACTACCTCCGTCCCCCTAAGTTTGGGACAAGAGAAGGTGACACGGTTATAAATAAAAGTGGGTTTATGTGGTTGATATTGAATTAATAAAGTAAGAATAAAGTAGAAATAATTTAGAACCACACAAACTTTACCAAATAAGGTATAAGACAAGGAATAAGGACACAAATAATACTAATAGCTTGTGAAATACAAAAAAGAGACTACTTTTCCTTTTTTCCAAAAATAAGACTTACTCGGCCCATCAATCCAGCCCATTTTCATCTCTGAAGCCAATTCCACACCATCGACCAAGGAGCTCCCCAAGCCATCGAGGAAGCAGAGAAAACATCTTCGCCCCCAGGCCGTCGCAGACTCGCAGGAGCAGAGGACACAACCCCCAAAGCCGTCGCCGTCACCTTCGCGGACAGGGTAGATAGACCGCCGCCGCCCTCGCCCATGCCTTCTCCCTACGCCTCGACTGTCAAGGTCGCTGCGGTGGCAATTCTGCCGCCGTCGCCGCCCTGTTTTGGGCTAGGGTTAGTCGCCTTCTTCTTCATCGTTGCGCGATACCTTCTTCTTCTTGTTCTCTAGCTTCATCGGTCTCAATCCACCTCCCTATTTCAGATCTAGTGGTGTTGGGGCTGCTGGGGCCTCGGGTGAGGTAGGGAAGTAGGTGGTTCTTTGGGCGGCACTTGGGTCACGTGGTGCGGCGGTGTAGTGGTGGAATGCGACAATGGTGCGGCGGTGGTGGTGGTAGAATGTGGTGGTGGCGTGGAAACTTACCGGAGGGCGGCGGCCGGAGTAATTTGTATGTCACTGTAAAATCGTCACTACGAAGATGTCACCACAAACTTGTCACTGTGGCCGGCGGCGGTGATCTGGAGGCGTCACTGTGGTGTGTGGTCACACGCAGAGTTGTCACTGCGGAGTACGGCGGAGTTGTCACTGCGACTGACGGCGGTGACCGGCGACGTTGGCGGTGACCTCTGGCGGCGGTGACCGGCGACGTTGGCGGTGATCTGGAGGCGTCACTATGGTGTGTGGTCACACGCAGAGTTGTCACTGCGGAGTTGTCACGGCGGAGTTGTCACTGCGACTGACGGCGGTGACCGGCGACGTTGGCGGTGACCTCTGGCGGCGGCGGCAACGACCTGCGGCAGCAGCAGTGACGTCAGTGACACATGTCATGGCAGAGGAGATGTCACTGTGGTCGGTGATGGCGGAGATGTCACTGCGGAGATTATATTTGGAAATGTCACTATGCAAGTGTAACTGTGCATTAGTACCATTTTTGTATAAATGTAAATATGGTCACTTTTTTGTAAAACAGCCTTAATTTAGTACTATTAAGGGAAAAACCCCATAAGACAATCTTAGTGGGACGGACTGAAATGGTAAAATGGGACAATCATAGCGGGACGGAGGGAGTATTAGTTTAAGTGTATATTTGTCAAATTGAATTAAGTACCCCTTTCCTTTTTGGGTAATCCCTGAATTAAGTTTTTCTTTCCTTATTTGCCAAATAGTGTCAAACAGTGTCAAACAATGCCAAACAGTGTCCAAACAGTAACATTTACCCCTCAGTAATTTTTTTTTTCTAAATATGTGTGAAAAGCAATAGGGAACTTCTTTTGGGGACGGAGGGAGTATTTAGGATTAGGGGTGGGCAAAAATACCGAAAAATCGGTATACCGCACTTACCGTACCGAAAAATACCGGAAAATACCGAAATATTGGTATACCGTCATTTTCGGTATGGTATCATACCGTACCGATCTATTCCGGTACGGTAACGGTAAATGTTTTCAAATACCGCGGTATACCGCTATAATACCGTACCGACTCCCTAGTCAACAATTGTTGTTAATTCTAATATATTGTAAAAATTCATTACAATTTTGAAGCCCAAAATTAATACTTAAGTTGGTTACAAATACAAAAATACAAAAATAAAGGCCCAATTTCTCAAACCCACTATAACCTTATAGGCTTCTACTACGCTAACCTTAATGACTAATGGGGAGTAATGTATAAATGTCAAGAGAAAATTTCATCTTGTTCCAAGAGCTTGCAAATCGTGAATTCGTGATGGTTGGGCCGCTAAGTAACTGACGAGTGAAGAGAGATACAGTTATGTGACAAATGTATCTACATAGGGATTCCGCGAGTCGAGACACACAACTTTGTCTGAAAGTCTTATTCAATTTTTAAAAAATTATAAAAATGACTAAATACACAATATCATATTAGGAATAAATGATTTTATATCCATGTTGTTTGAATAGTTTTATTTATTTTTGTTAGCGATCACTATTGATTTAATTATATCTATATTGTTCAGGTTATTTTAGGAGAATGTGTTACTTTTTAATATGTGGCATGTTGAACTGCTTAAATATACTAATAATAATTATTGTTCAATATTGAATTGACATCAATAGATTATTAATTGTATTTCATAACATTTTAATAATAGATTTAATATGTCGCTAATAATAACGATTTAGTATATTTCGTTAGCCTATGATAATTTTTTGTATTGAGAGACATGCACGGTAATTTACCGATACCGTACCGTTACCGAACCGAAACTTCGGTATACCGAAATGTGGTATACCGAAACTTCGGTAAGGTAAAGGTATGAAAATTTTGCATACCGAAAGTTTTGGTACGGCAAAGGTATGAGAAAAAATATAAGGTATACCGTACCGAACCTGTGACACCGCACCCGAATGTCCTTGGAAATTTGATTTGAATATTCATAGCTTATGTATTGGATTTCCGATTCCCAAACATTTCGTAAAACGATCAATGTTCTACGTAGTGCATGGTTGAATATCGTACTGTTCAAACTCGTACATTCGTGTCGGGTTTCGCAAATACTTACTCGGGACTTATTAATAGATAAAAAAGCCCAACATTACCAAAATAGTGAAAGAATGATTAAAGGAGAATACAAATGTCTATAACCCCATCTTTGGCATTATTGAGCTAAATAATGGGAGTAGGATTTTCCTTCTAAAATATCCATCAAGTAAATTATTGGGATGAGCCTACACATATTGGAGATCAATAATGTGATTTAGGAAGTTGACTTGTTCTAAATAAATTAGGATGAGTACAGGAAGACATCTTTGACAAAGATAAAACAATAGGACCCATCTTCCCATTTTTGGAAGTATTGGTAGATATTTTGGACCCCAAATTTAATGGGATCAATTGGGAACCACTCCACATGATATTAGTACCTGCAAAACAAATAAAAATGGGTTAGAAGACCTACCTTGGCCGTCCATAATGGAGGGGAGCTTCACATGACTTGATAGGAATCAAATGTTGGGCCACCATCCCTATTTTCGCACAAAATGGTGTGCTGGTTGTCTCCACTCATTATAGGAGCTATCCTCAACCAAATAACGTGTATGAGGTGTCCTTGGATAGCTCTTGAAGTGTAGTTTCATAATTGAGTGGTCCTTGTTCGAAGAGAGAGAGCTTATCATCCAAAAATCGATCTGGAACGAGCAGTGGTCTGTGAACTCGAGCTGTGAGAGTGCTGAGACTGTTTGCTTCATATCTCGAGTTATACACATCCAAATAAGGCGTATAATATACCAAAAGAAATCTCTCAAGACGAGGAATCCTCGAAGGTCTGGTTTGCATCATTCGGAGTAGTGGAAGGCCTCCAAATCGACCGAGCAAAACACGACCTCGCAGAATACGTTTTTGTATTCAAAGTAAGTTTGAATCCAAAACCTTCCTCTCTATTGTCTAAATCATATAAATGATTGAAGAACTATTATACACTGATTGAAGTGTATAAAATGTTATTATTATGTGACTTTAATTGTTGGAAAGGTTAGATACTAACCTAGAGCAAATCTTGGAAAAACTAGGAAACGAGTTAACCGGGAAACACCCGTTCTAGGGGCTGTTTTCGTATCAACGATTAAGGGTTGAACTAGCACTTTGAGGAGGCTGTTTAACACTCATATTTGAGCAAGGAATCAGTTCCAAATCCACCTTGACCAAAGCTTTGACCGTTGGACCAAGAAGGGAAAGTTTAAAGCTCAATTGAGGTGAGGATTGACATCTAATTGCTTACAACTTGTAGGTTAAGCATGAGATTACCTAAATGCTTAAATCATTATTTTTCATGGATTATGATGATTATATATTGATGAAATATTGATATAGTTGCCAAAGAATGAAATTTGAAATGAATTGAGAATGTATGAATAATATGAGATTAAAGGAGTATAAATGAACTATTTTGTGAAATAGGCATTTTGCTCATGTATGAATTATGTGGATACATAAATGAATGTTTGTGTATTGAGATTTAATACTTAAGTTGCTGCTACATAATTATAAATATGTAGAGAATTACAAATAATGAGAATAATGGTATGATAACAATAATCTTAATAGTATTGAAATACTAGTTAGTGATTATTGGGGCTTGTTGATTAAATTGATCCTAGGGATTGGATTGTATGAAAGGTACTTGAATATAGTTCAAGTGTATATAATACTTAGTATGGAACTAAGGTTAAGTTATGGGAAGTCTTTAAGGATGACCCATGGCAGTTTAATGATATGTCAATTCTAGGCATAGGGTTGCTTGAGAATTGGACCTTAATGCATGGTGATGTAGTAGAGCCGAGCTCTAGAATGCATGTAAGGTGTAGACTTGTAGTCTATGTATTGTATAGCTAGAGCCGAGCTCTAGGGCTTGCGTGGTGATGTAATAGAGCCGAGCTCTAGAACGCAAGGTAAGGAATTGACCCGAGTGACATGAATTGTATGGTGATGTAGTAGAGCCGAGCTCTAGAATACAATGTCATGTGTTAGGGTTGGACTCTATTGAGTATCGTGGCTTGTAGCCACGGGAAATGGGAATGGTGATTTCTAAATGAACATGGGCCCACGGGCCGACTACTTGACTTTTACCTAAAGTAAGTATATTTTCAAATGGGTAACTTAGGGTTACAATCATAATATACTATCACCCTATTTGAGGGTCTCGTGCTTGAAATACTTGTTGTATATCTATTAGATGCCTGCCACACCAGTACTTTATAGCCGTATAGAGTACTGACCCCTTCGGGGGCGTCCCACCACCATTTTTCAGGTTGAGGCTAGAGCTTGCTTCCTGTGCTCGTTGCTCGAGAGATCATATAGGAGGGAAGACTTGGTTCGTGCTTCCTCCATTCTGTTTTTAAACCTTCCTAAACGTGCTCATGGATATTTTACTATGGAGCCTGCGTGCTCATGAAATGCCTTGTGTGGCCTTTTGTTTTAAACAATGTTTCCGCTGCGTTATGAATTACTTATTATGTTTGTTTATGGATGTGTATGTGTGAATGATACTCGAGACGCCTTGTATAATATGAATGTGTTGGACTGCGGTTGACTATTCGTATTGTACGGCGGGTTGTTGACGTGTCCGGATAGGTCCGGGGCGTGACAATTAAGTTGGTATCAGAGACCTTAGTCCATAAACTTCATAATGAAGTCTCAAAATTCTCTTTTTGAAAAGATTTTGAAAACCATGAGCATAGAAGTTTTGTACTTGGAGAGCTTTTGGTACTTGGGTTGCAAGGTCTCTAACTGTTAAGATGGTACCCTTAGCAATTGGTATGGCGGTGACTCGAGCCAAAATGTGTCTTAAGTACCTATCCGTCAATTGACATTTGATACGAGTCTAACGACTCTTTCCAAATTTCTTTCAGAAATGGACCGTGGTGGCAGGATTACTAGGAGAAACCCGACCGGCCGTGTACCAGTGGAGACTGGACAGGGCAGTCGAAGGACCTCTAGGGCATCTAGAGGAGCTGGCCGTGGAGGCCGGTCACAGACCGTGAGTGACGGTCATGTTGACACAGAAAGTGAAACCTACTGGTCCTATGAGGACTCGACTTACCAACCGGAAACCGAGCCGATTGAGACCCCTTACGAAGGGGATGACGATGATGTAAGTGATGAAGAGGGGGAGAATGACTCCCTAGCAAGAATTGAGGCGCTACTCCAACAGTATCACCGTGAGCGTGAAGAGAGGAGGGAACGCCGAAGGCGCCGGGCTGGGCAACCTTCGGGCATGGCTTCGAGAGGAGGAAGTCATGGTGCATCTAGAGTCCATGTGGAACCACATGGAGGCCGAAATGATGGAGGTCCAACCATAAGGATCTCCAAATTTATCAAAGAAGCAAGAGATTTGGGGTGCAAACCCTTTGATGGAGCAGGGGACATTTCAGTTGCAGCACAATGGATCAAGAGGCTAAATGAAGCAGCCCTTGACATGCAAATCGCGCCGAATCTCAAACTGAGAATTGCGGTAAGATTGCTCGAGGGGATGGCATCCAAGTGGTGGGATGGAACCAAGAGCAAGTACGGTGAAACCGTCGTTTGGGAGGACTTCCAACGGGAGTTCTTTGCCCAATATTATTCCGATTTTGAAGTAAACAAGAAGGTGAGGGAATACACCCTCCTAACCCAGGGGGGGTAACATGACAGTGAAGGAACTTGAGTACAAGTTCCGGGACCTCGCCGACTACATACCGGAGTATGCTTGCGACGAGAACCGAATGGTAAACCACTTTTGGGATGCTCTTGACTTGGAGATACGTGATAGGGCAACACAATTGCCTAATATGACCTTCGCCCAAGTGGTTGATCAAGCGTTGAAGGGGGAGAAGCAGTGGGAGGAGAGGAAGAAGAGAGACGCCGAGGAGGTGAAAAAGAGAAAATGGGAGAGCCATGGCTCCCAAGGTTCCAACAAAAAGGGGAACCATGGAGGAGGATCTTTCCGGGCACCGCCGCCACCGTCTAGGGGGAATCAAGGCCCGAGTGGGCAAGGCTCGAGGTCACAAACCTCGGTGGTAACTCGTTGCAACAATTGCAAGAGGAACCACTCCGGTAAATGTCGCGACCCCCCTAGATGTTTTCAATGTGGGGATGCCGGGCATTTGAAGGCGCATTGCCCACAATTGGGTGGGACAAGGACATCGGGACCGAGCAGTGGCCCGACGGGTACACGGAATCAAACCGGAGCTTCTCAAGCGAGCCGGGGACATGGGGGAGCGAGTACGAGCAACGCGCCATCCGTGAATCAAGGAAGAACTCAAGCTAGAGTTTATGCGATGACGGAGGCGGATGCTCGAGCTAACCCGGACTCGGTTGCAGGTATTGCCTCTTGCACAATTGTATTTTGTCCATATTTAATCCATAAATTGATGACATAAGTCATAGGGATTGAGTGTGAGCCATTACGGGGTCAAACGGCGAAATTCGGGCCAAAACTGACCAAAAACAGGGACGCACGATCGTGCGTCCAACCCCACGCACGATCGTGTGTAGGGGACAGTGGTTCCAGGTGAATTTCGCGCAGGACGCACGACCGTGCGTGCCGGTACGCACGCCGTGCGTGGACGCACGATCGTGCGTGGCCGGGTACGCACGATCGTGCGTAACCGGCAGTGGTCGGATTCGACGTTTCTTCACGCACGCACGACCGTGCGTGTCCCACGCACGACCGTGCGTGGACCCCAGCCGCCCGAAACACGAGTTTTTCATCCCGTTCTTCTATGATTGGACCCCCGTTTGATTCCGAACATTTATATGAACCTATTAACCTCCTAAAAAGTGTCCTAAACCATTAGAAAAGGTATCTTACGTGGTGTATAAATGTAGGAACATTAAAGATTAATGGGAAGGATGCACGAATCCTTATCGATACCGGGGCGCAACGTTCGTTCGTGAGTGAGGCGTTCGCCGAGGACTTAGGGGTACAATCAACACCAATGACACAAACCTTAGTGGTATCAACCCCACTAGGGGAAGACGTTGAAAGAAACGATTACTATCCATCTTGTATGGTGGAAATCGGTGGCCAAACCTTGACGTGTGATTTCGTACCGCTGAGTATGATGGAGTTCGATGCAATCCTAGGGATGGATTGGCTAGAAAAGCATCATGCTAGGGTAGATTGCTACACAAAGGTGTTGGAACTCGAAGGCACACAGGGGGACACCCTACGCTTCGAGGGGGACCGCGGCAAATCAAATAGTTGTATCATATCCGCCGTGAGAGCGAGAAATATGATGAGGAAGGGATGCCACGCATATCTAGCATACGTGGTTGACAAAACCAAAGAGGAAACGAACATCGATGATGTGAGGGTGGTTTGTAAGTATCCGGATGTCTTCCCTAAAGACCTACCGGGGCTTCCACCTGACAGAGAGATTGAATTTGTGATCGAGGTCGAGCCTGGTACCAAACCAATCTCCATACCGCCATACCGGATGGCACCCGCTGAACTTAACGAGTTGAAAACCCAATTGCAAGAGCTTTTGGATAACGGTTTCATTAGACCAAGCCACTCCCCGTGGGGAGCACCGGTTCTTTTTGTGAAAAAGAAAGATGGGACACTTCGAATGTGCATTGACTATCGTCAACTGAACAAGGTCACAATCAAGAATAGGTATCCGTTGCCTAGGATTGATGACTTGTTTGATCAACTACGAGGAGCAACCGTGTTTTCGAAGATTGACTTAAGGTCGGGGTACCATCAATTGAAGATTAAGGAAGATGACATACCAAAGAGTGCTTTCCGCACAAGGTATGGGCATTTTGAGTTCCTTGTTATGTCGTTTGGGTTAACAAACGCCCCGGCGGCATTCATGGACTTGATGAACCGAGTATTCCATAAATACTTGGATCGATTCGTGATTGTGTTCATAGATGACATCTTGATTTACTCAAAGAGTGAAGAAGAGCATGAGGAGCACTTGATACTTGTTCTTGAAACACTACGGGAGAAGCAACTCTATGCCAAATTTTCTAAATGTGAATTTTGGCTAAAGGAGATTGGCTTCCTCGGGCACGTGGTTTCGGGATCGGGGATTGCTGTTGATAACAAGAAGATAGAAGCCATTACTGAATGGGAGAGGCCAAAGAACGTCAAGGAAATTCGTAGTTTCCTTGGATTGGCAGGCTACTATAGAAAGTTCGTGGAGAAGTTCTCTGTTTTGGCATCGCCATTGACGAAGCTCACTCGTAAAGGAGCTAAGTTTGTATGGGATGACAAATGTGAGAAAGGGTTCATGGAACTAAAGAAGAGATTGACTGAGGCACCGGTACTTGCATTACCCAAACAAGGTGTGGGGTACGATGTCTATAGCGATGCGAGCATCCAAGGGCTCGGATGTGTACTGATGCAGAATGGGAGGGTAATCGCCTATGCTTCACGACAATTGAAGAAGCATGAGGTGAATTATCCTACTCATGATTTGGAGCTCGGGGCAGTGGTATTTGCACTGAAGATATGGAGACATTATCTCTACGGGGAGACATGTCACATATACACTGATCACAAGAGCTTGAAGTACGTGTTTACTCAGAAAGAGCTAAACATGAGACAGAGACGGTGGATGGAGCTGATAAAAGACTACCATCTAGTGATAGAGTATCACCCAGGCAAGGCAAACGTGGTGGCAGATGCTTTGAGCCGGAAGAGCTCGTCTGGGGCATTGATAACTAATTTGAGGGCATTAAGAGCCCAACTGGAGGTAACCAGCGATGGTGCCTTATTGGCACGATTTGAGGTGAGACCCACTTTACTTGATGAGATCAAGAAGGGTCAGGAAGCCGACGAAGAACTTATGAAGGTCCGGGAACGCATGCAAGCGGGGCCGGTGGAGGATTTCAGGGAAAGAGATGATGATCTCTTGTTATTTCGTGACCGAGTGTGTGTACCGTCAGATGATGAGCTCCGAAAGTCCATCTTAGAGGAGGCTCATTCATCGGCTTATGCCATGCACCCGGGGGGCACGAAAATGTACCGTGATTTGAAGGAAAGTTACTGGTGGTCTGGAATGAAGAGGGAAATAGCCGAGTACATCAGTCGGTGCCTTACTTGTCAACAAGTTAAGGCAGAACATCAGCACCCAGCAGGCTTATTGCAACCACTCTCCATCCCTGAATGGAAGTGGGAGCACGTGACTATGGATTTCGTGGTAGGCTTACCACGAACTATCAGGAACTATGACGCGGGTTGGGTCGTTGTGGATAGGCTCACAAAGAGTGCACACTTCTTGCCTATCAACACTACCTACCCACTTGAGAGGTTAGCCAAATTGTATACGGATGAGATCGTGAGGCTGCATGGGGTCCCGGTGACCATTGTATCTGATAGAGACCCACGATTCACATCACGTTTTTGGCCGAAATTCCAGGAGTCTATGGGAACGAAGTTGAAGTTCAGCACTGCTTTCCATCCACAGACGGATGGGCAGTCTGAAAGGGTTATACAGATCCTAGAAGACATGCTGAGGGCTTGTGCATTGGAGTTCCAGGGGAGTTGGGACAACCACTTAGCACTTGTGGAGTTTGCCTATAACAACAGTTATCAGGCAAGCATCGGCATGCCTCCATACGAGGCATTGTATGGGAGGAGGTGCCGTACACCGTTATGCTGGGACGAGGTTGGCATGGCCAAACTCGAGGGTACTGAGTTGGTGGAGGTCACCAAATCAAAGGTGAAGCTAATTCGAGAGAGACTCAAGGCGGCTCAGGATAGACAAAAGAGTTATGCAGATAAGCGTCGAAGAACCTTAGAGTTTAAGGTTGATGACGAGGTATTCTTGAAAGTTTCTCCTTGGAAAGGGATCATTCGGTTCCAAACCCGAGGAAAACTTAACCCACGATATATAGGTCCATTCAGAATTATAGAGAGGATTGGGGCCGTTGCATATCGTCTACGATTGACTCCTGAGTTAGAGAAGATACATAATGTGTTTCATGTATCCATGCTTAAGAAGTATGTGCATGATCCCTCTCACGTATTGGAGAAGCCACCTGTAGAAGTACGTGAGGATTTGAACTACTCTGTTCAACCTATCAAGGTCACCGATAGAAAGGTGAAGAAACTGAGGAGCAAGGAAGTCCCAATGGTTAAAGTCTTGTGGAAGAGCGATCGGGTCGAAGAAGAGACATGGGAAACAGAGGCTTTGATGAGGAAGCAGTATGCTTTCCTATTCGAGTAGAGCTGTGAATTTCGGGGACGAAATTCCTGTTAAGGGGGGTGAACTTGTGACACCGCACCCGAATGTCCTTGGAAATTTGATTTGAATATTCATAGCTTATGTATTGGATTTCCGATTCCCAAACATTTCGTAAAACGATCAATGTTCTACGTAGTGCATGGTTGAATATCGTACTGTTCAAACTCGTACATTCGTGTCGGGTTTCGCAAATACTTACTCGGGACTTATTAATAGATAAAAAAGCCCAACATTACCAAAATAGTGAAAGAATGATTAAAGGAGAATACAAATGTCTATAACCCCATCTTTGGCATTATTGAGCTAAATAATGGGAGTAGGATTTTCCTTCTAAAATATCCATCAAGTAAATTATTGGGATGAGCCTACACATATTGGAGATCAATAATGTGATTTAGGAAGTTGACTTGTTCTAAATAAATTAGGATGAGTACAGGAAGACATCTTTGACAAAGATAAAACAATAGGACCCATCTTCCCATTTTTGGAAGTATTGGTAGATATTTTGGACCCCAAATTTAATGGGATCAATTGGGAACCACTCCACATGATATTAGTACCTGCAAAACAAATAAAAATGGGTTAGAAGACCTACCTTGGCCGTCCATAATGGAGGGGAGCTTCACATGACTTGATAGGAATCAAATGTTGGGCCACCATCCCTATTTTCGCACAAAATGGTGTGCTGGTTGTCTCCACTCATTATAGGAGCTATCCTCAACCAAATAACGTGTATGAGGTGTCCTTGGATAGCTCTTGAAGTGTAGTTTCATAATTGAGTGGTCCTTGTTCGAAGAGAGAGAGCTTATCATCCAAAAATCGATCTGGAACGAGCAGTGGTCTGTGAACTCGAGCTGTGAGAGTGCTGAGACTGTTTGCTTCATATCTCGAGTTATACACATCCAAATAAGGCGTATAATATACCAAAAGAAAGCTCTCAAGACGAGGAATCCTCGAAGGTCTGGTTTGCATCATTCGGAGTAGTGGAAGGCCTCCAAATCGACCGAGCAAAACACGACCTCGCAGAATACGTTTTTGTATTCAAAGTAAGTTTGAATCCAAAACCTTCCTCTCTATTGTCTAAATCATATAAATGATTGAAGAACTATTATACACTGATTGAAGTGTATAAAATGTTATTATTATGTGACTTTAATTGTTGGAAAGGTTAGATACTAACCTAGAGCAAATCTTGGAAAAACTAGGAAACGAGTTAACCGGGAAACACCCGTTCTAGGGGCTGTTTTCGTATCAACGATTAAGGGTTGAACTAGCACTTTGAGGAGGCTGTTTAACACTCATATTTGAGCAAGGAATCAGTTCCAAATCCACCTTGACCAAAGCTTTGACCGTTGGACCAAGAAGGGAAAGTTTAAAGCTCAATTGAGGTGAGGATTGACATCTAATTGCTTACAACTTGTAGGTTAAGCATGAGATTACCTAAATGCTTAAATCATTATTTTTCATGGATTATGATGATTATATATTGATGAAATATTGATATAGTTGCCAAAGAATGAAATTTGAAATGAATTGAGAATGTATGAATAATATGAGATTAAAGGAGTATAAATGAACTATTTTGTGAAATAGGCATTTTGCTCATGTATGAATTATGTGGATACATAAATGAATGTTTGTGTATTGAGATTTAATACTTAAGTTGCTGCTACATAATTATAAATATGTAGAGAATTACAAATAATGAGAATAATGGTATGATAACAATAATCTTAATAGTATTGAAATACTAGTTAGTGATTATTGGGGCTTGTTGATTAAATTGATCCTAGGGATTGGATTGTATGAAAGGTACTTGAATATAGTTCAAGTGTATATAATACTTAGTATGGAACTAAGGTTAAGTTATGGGAAGTCTTTAAGGATGACCCATGGCAGTTTAATGATATGTCAATTCTAGGCATAGGGTTGCTTGAGAATTGGACCTTAATGCATGGTGATGTAGTAGAGCCGAGCTCTAGAATGCATGTAAGGTGTAGACTTGTAGTCTATGTATTGTATAGCTAGAGCCGAGCTCTAGGGCTTGCGTGGTG